AAGTATGCCTACAACGGATATAAACAAGGCCATTAAAAGCCATGCAAACGTACAGTACGCACATGTGTTTTCACTAACAAAACCACACATGTGAGATGCCAGCCTGCGTACACATGGCCTAACATCGTCATCATAAAAAAAAAATTAAGCCAACAACTATTCATGGTGTTGGCATTATTGATTTCGTTTATAACTGAGAATCAAACATACACCAACGACTTTCATGTAGTATTATTATGAACAAAGATACGAATCTAGATGTGTATGAAAGACGTAATACATACCTTTTTTATCTAAAAAACATGAAAAATAACGGTTATTTGCATCAAATTTCGAAAAACCTCTCTTCACCTTCCTCATCGGGTCAACGAACATTACAGCGATAAGCAAGGAAGTTGAACTCGTCATCTAATGAATATTCATCATTTTTTCGCCAAAACACCTTTTTATTTGCCATTATTGGCTAGTCAATATGACGTAAATTTCTATTTTTGACTACCGGGTTTTAAATGCGGTTTGTTCTGTTACTGTTGCGCGTTTATGTACTCCACGCGCGCCGGTTCAGAAATGAGGGCGTGCTAGTTATTTTATATATTCGAAACCACAGTGAATGAAATACTAGATAATATAAAACTTATTCTAACCGTTTATTCTAAACGTCGAACAGACTAATAACACGCTCAACAGAACTTCGAACGCCGTTGCGGTATATACGCGTTCGGATGTCGAAGACGGCAGATCGGAATAACGTGGCGGCGAGTGTCGCGACGATTTCAATTTTTCGGACGGAGAGCACGTCTCCAGATGGTTGCCTACGAGTTTCCATCCGCCAAAGTCGAAGTCCGCCAAACACCCGACGACCGAGTACGACATTATCGAAGCTCCCAGGCGAAAGTCACGGTCCACGTCAAGAAATTCGAACGGAAAAGATTCGCCGAAGACGTTTTGTCGACATTCGCCGTCCACAAACAATCCGAAGGCGCTGCTGTTTCTGTACGCTCTCACGTGGTGCCACGTCCCGATCGAAAGTAAATTCGAATGGGCGATGGTCCGTTTTCCGGATCCCGCGTCGAAGGAGAATTCCATTTTTCCTTTACTAACAGAGATGCCGACGAAATCCATGTTCCTCATGCTCGACGCGTGCAGGATCCGCCCGTTATCCAAGGACGACAATTTCAGATAGAAACTGACGTCAACGTCCGTCCTGTGGTCGTCGACAGAGTTTCCCAGTGGT